TACAATCCCCAGTGCTCCTTGCAGCAAATTGTGGCCAGGTGACTATATAAAGGCCAATAGGATGCAATTTAATATGTTTCATGGCAGTTTATGCCAAGCTTTTCTAAATGGCGGCAGGAGCACAAAACTTACTTTGTGCTTTCCTTTACTTTGCTGTCATGTGAACTTGGACATGTCAGCTCATGTCTCCAAGCCTCAGTTGTTCATATGTAGAACAGGAATACAATCTTGTTTGAGGGCAAAGATGAAGTGAGATAATAAATATAAGGTGCATTTAATGGGATAATAAATATGAAATGCTTTCTAGTGGCTGGCTCAGAGCACATATTAAACAAGTGTTTCTCATACTTATCTATGCAAACTCAGAAAAGCCACTTAAATCTGAATTTCAGAGGTTTTCTCTTCTATAGAACTAAGATGGTTTTCATACAACAGATTTAAATCTATAATAAGAGATATAAGTGTAAAAACCAACAAAATCATACAAACACTAGGAGAAAACATAGATGAATTCCTGCAGGACTGAAGTATGAGCAAAGCCATTCTGTGATTCAAACCATAATAAAAGAGATGGTTAAATCTGACTGCACAGAATTCGTACTGCAACAAACTTCAGAGTGAAGTCAAAAGGGAAACTGAAAGGAAATACTTGTGAGTTAGGTCCCAGAAAAGCAGTTGATGTCTTTAATATATAATGAGCTCTTAAAAATCAAACATAAAGACCCCAAATTCAATTTTTAAAGATCGGCAAAAGACACAAATAAGCGATTTATAGAAAGAGCCATCTAAATGGACATTAAAAGTAGAAAGAGATTGTTCAAGTTCACATGTAAGAGAAATGCAATTGAAACTGCCCCCAAACTCCACACCGATTACAGTGGCAAACACTCACAAGCTTGACCACCCACTCTGCTGGGACCTGGTGCCCATGTGAGGAGACACAGTCACACGCTGTTGGTGGAGAGGGAGGTCCTGACAATATTTAACGATACAGTGTGGACCCTGAACCTTTAGCTCCTCGACCCACCTTTTGGAATTTGCCCAAAGATAAACTTTGACAAGTCGAGGACTACAAATGCGTCTGGTTATTCACTGCAGTGTTATTTGCAGCAGCAAAGTACGAGGAGCCAGAGGAGACTGATTACACATGCTATGGTGCTTTTGCGTAAGAAAGTCCTATGCAGGGATTAAAACTCAGGGCAATTCCTGTGAGCAGACAAGAAACGGCTGACAGTATGAGTCAAAAATGGAAAAGCAAAGAGCAAAAATATCTATGGCATGTTCTCCTTCACCCAAGAATTATGGGGAAATAAGAAAAGTATAAGAATATACACGTATAAAAGGAAAAGGAGGTGGGTGGAGTTCACTTAGAGATAGAAGTGAATACCAGAGGTGCAGAGATGTAGATAGGAATTAGACTTTTCTTCGGACTTCTTATAGAATGCACATTCTCAAGATATATAAATACTTTACACATTCAAAGATAAAATTCAGTCAGAGATGTTGAAGAGAACAATCTCTTCAATGGGATGCAAAGAGAAAGAAAAGAGCCTAACGTTACAACAAATTGGTAGCTCCAGCGGGCAGCCATCAAAGGGGCTCCCGAGACCCTCGAGTCTTGGAACTGAGGCTCATGTCAGCCTCTGCCCTGGAACACAGGCTGGACCCAGGAATTGGCTTCTGATGCACAGAGCACAGGCGTCACTCCTGAGACAAATCACAGAAGGTAGTGACTCCGTCTGGCTGGCAGTCTCTCCTCCCAGCTCTCCTCACGAGCTTGCCTCAGTGGGCCAAGACATCTGGCAGGGAGTCACAGCTGGACCACAACAGCTGAGGGGCAGGGCCCCACAGTCCAGCAGCCCTGAAGGAACTCAGCCCTGCTGAGAGCCACACGAGTGAGCCCAGAAGCAGGCCCCAAGCCCACCCTCGGTGACACCTTGAGTGATCCTAGGAGAGACCTTGAGCTGGGACACCTTGGAAGTCACCCGGGTCCACAGAATCGCGGAGATAGGTGCCATCTCTGTAAGCCGCTGAATTTGGGGGATCGTTTGTTAAACCATAGAAAACACAAAAATGACCCCAGCAAGAGGGAATTGGTTTAAGTGACTTTGGACTAATGTGTCTGCGCAACAGGCTACACTCTAAGGGCAACAGGGATGTCATAGAAGGCTCAAGGGAAACTTAGTGAACAGGTTGCCATGGGCAGTAGGGTCTGTGGAATTCTGAGTCCCATCTAGCAAATGTACAGACATTTGGGGAAAAGAGGCTCACCCAGCCAGATCAGAAGATGGGAGTAAGGAAGGGGGAAAACAGGAAGAAACTTGAGATGTTGGGCTTGCACTGGAGAGGCCAGGAGGAATGCATCTTCTGTTCTCTGGAGATCTGGAAGCACTTGATGCACAGGCAGGATGTGTACCATGGCCTTAAATGCAATTCACCACCGGAAGAAACCGGAATGCTTTGGAGGAGTGGCGGATTCCAGGGCTTGGGATAAGGAGAGCATGGGATGAGCTGGGCACATCCTACTGTGTCAGAGGAGAGGAAGTCCTCAAAGCACAAGGACAGCACGAGGCTGGACGCTCCCGCAGGCCAAATCTGGACAGTGTGAGCAGTGTAAACATGCAAGTGAGTAACGTGTGAAATGGAACAGGGGACAGGGAGCAGTCGGAAACAGCTCCTTATCAAAGAATGGCAAATGCCAAATACAGAAGAAGGAGAAGTTTCTTAAACCTCCATACTGTAACCCTCACATTTGACCTCCCAAAGATCACTAGTGGATTCCAAAACTCCTGGTGGAGAGTTTGCCAGAGAGAGGGATATCTGCACCCTTCCCAAGTGACACCCTACAGTTTGCGGACTGCTTATACAGGGAAAGGGGCTCTTTAACACAGGAAGGCCAGGAGGAGCCTACTTCAACCAAGGGAACAAACTCAGCAGCCCCAAGAGGGAGACCCAGGACGTGTGCTCCAGGGGAGGCAAAGAGCGAGGGACCTGTCCTCGGGACACACCTGGCCATGGAGGACACAGCTGAACAAACTCAGTCCACGGGGCGTTCAAAACACAACCGGTCAGGCCTCTTCAGAAATGTCCGTGTCGTCACAAAGGAAGAGGAGAGGGAGGAACGTTCCGAGTGCTACAAATGAACACAGAGGACACACGAGCAACCCTGCAGTGGGCACCCCTGGGCTGGATCCTTGGCTTAGCAAACTGATAAAGGCTGAAAGGATGTGTTGGGGACAGTTGAGAATCGACTACACTCAGGCTGTATTTCAGGCCTACAGTCCCAGCGCTCAGGAGGCTGAGGCAGGAGAAATAAGAGATCATGTGCATCCTGGGGTAGACAGCAAATTCCAGACTAGACTGGGACACATACTGAGAACTTACGTCCAAAACAAAGATAGCATCATTATTACGTCGGGGTTAAATTTCTCGGGTATGACAGCGACGGCGGGATTGGGGAAGTTCTAAGTTTTTGGCAGCATATACGAATATCTGTGATTTTCTTTTAAATGGAAAGAGGGATAAAGGGAAGGGGTGAGAAAGAAAAAGAGCGAGGCAGAAGAGAGGCAGGAAGGAGGAGGGAAAGGAGAGAGAGGAAGAGGAAAAGAACAAGAAGGGCAGGAGGGGAGAAGAGGAGGAGGGAGAGGGAGGAGGGCCGGGGGAGAAGGGAGAACCTGAGAGCAGTTGGTGAGTGTGAGCGAGGGGCGAACAGGCCTGTGCCGAGAACTCTTCCGTGAGCTTGCTCTTTGTCCAATCCAACACTTGCCCCAGCATGTGAGAGGCTGAGGCAGGGAGTCCAAGCTCAAGGCCAGCCTGGACTCTACAAGGAGACCCTGCCCCAAACAACTGCAAATCAAAACTGCCCCCAAATCCCTGACCTCTAGGGAAGGGTGGTGTTGGCATCTCCGTCCCTGGAATTTCAGGGCAAGAGACCCACGGAGGAGATTCGCTTGGTGGCTCAAGGCTGGTGGGAAGCTCAGTGACCACCTCGGGGTGGCGAACGCCCCATCTGAGCCCCTTTCTTCATCCACAGTGAAGACGGGGCTGAGCACTTTCTGGTGGGGGTGCTGAGGGTCAGGGGGTGGAAAGATGGGTAAGTGTGACGTGTTGAGCTGGGGACGGGCGCTCTGAGCAGAGCGACCGTGGTGGTCCGTTGTGTCACGCACTGTAGGTGTCAGGAAAGGTCCCTCAGCCTCCCACTGCCCTGGTGCAGGGTGGGGTGCCGTGTCCAAAGCCACTTTCCATCGCCCCGTGGTCCCCGGTCAGGGTGTGCTCCCTTGAGAACTGTTGGAGGCACCTGGCCCTGCCCTCTGGATGTCGGGCTCCGGCCCTGAGCTCAGGACTGCTGTGCCCCACCCTGAATCAGGGGAGGCAAGGTTGGAAGAGGGACATGGGAAGTGATTGGCTACCTTCTCCTGGCCGTACCTCCTTCCGGCCTCCCGCCCTGACTTCCGGGCAAGCCTTGGTGGGCCCTGCGTGTGGAATGCCCGGAGTCCCACTGCCTCCTGTCTGACTTCCCACCCTCCCACCCTCTCACCCGGGCTCCCTGCTGGGAGTGTGGGCCCTGCGTGTGGAATGCCCGGAGTCCCACTGCCTCCTGTCTGACTTCCCCCCCTCCCACCCTCTCACCCGGGCTCCTGCTGATGGGAGATGGGAGTGGGTGGAGGTCGGCCGGGCCGTGACCAGGGCCCCAGCACATTCCTGGTGTGCTTCGCGGGCCTCCCCTGTCCTCTGGCTCTCGGCCTCCAGTCTCTGGCTCCTGCTTCACTTTCTCTTTCTCCTTATGTCTGTCTGCTTCAGGCTTTCTCTTTCCTTCCCCTCTTTCCTGTTGCTGGCCACCTTTCTTAGCTGTTGCACCCCTCAGTTCCTCTCTAGATGCCCCCCACTTCTCAGACTCTGGCTCTGCTCTCTCTCTCTCTCTCTCTCTCTCTCTCTCTCTGCATTTTTGTCTTCAGTGGCACCCTAATCTTTCTGTCTGTTCCATGCAACCTTCCTTCCAGGGATATCAGGACTGTTGTCGCCTTGGCACCGGATTTCCTGCTGCAGACCGGAGCTCTAGACTCACAGGAAGAGTGTGACTTTCCTTATTGTCCCAGACCTCAGTGCTTGGCTTCCCAAGGTGAGAACACACCACAAAGGTTACTGGAGTCCGTGGTGCCTCAGGCAAGCACTCCATGAATTTCTGGGGACTTAGAATCCACACTGTGTACCTCGGTCTGCAGGGTCTGCTGCCTCCTGCAGCCTCAGCTCCAGGCTCTCACCTGCCTCCTTGTCCCCAAGCTCACCAGCTCACCCACCCCAGGGCTTTGTCCTCGTTCACCTCTCGCTCAGGGCTTGGACACTACCACTAGTCACATCATGCTGCAGGCGCTCTCTGCGGTTTTAAAATATGATGTCCTCACATCCTGTGACAGTCCTGTCTTCATGGCTGGTGCCCACGGGACAGCTGGCTTGCTCCTGCGGAGCAGACTGTGGCAAGGGGGGCAGTGTGTGACCTCCAAGACTGGGTCCTAAGCAATACTGAGGCTTCCCACTCGGTCCTCTTGGATCACTCACCTGGGAGAAACTGCCGCCGTGTCACAGGGATGGGCACGTGACAGGGCCTGGCTTTCCGGGTGTGTCTGTGAGCTCCCTGGAGCCAGGCACCCCAGGTGAGACAGCGGCCCTGGCTGTCACGTTACCTGCACCCTCTCAGGAGACCCCCAGCCACGGCGAGGAGCACAGCTACCAGGTCAAGCAGAAATCACACGGCCTCTGCTCCTTCATCCTGACCCCTACTGCTTCTGTTTGCCCACTTTTGTCTCCCTCCCTCTAGGTGGTGCGTTGGAGAGGCCAGCGGACACGTCTGTAGGACTGACCCCTTTGTCCCAACGCTGCTGCGCAGGGCTGGCCAGGTCCCCCAGGCTCAGTCCAGGACCCTCTCCGGAGGCCCTTGGTCTCCCTGAGGGCGCAGGGAATCGGGCCCCGCCCCCTCGCTCTTTCTGTATTTGGCTTCTTGTGCATTCTGTGGCTTCTGCTTGGTTTCATTCCTCGCTGCCTGACAGAGAGAGTGGGTTTGTGCAGTTAAGGGGGCACCTCGGGGAGGAGGGGCTCTGTGTGCTTTCTCCTCTAGCAAGCTGCATCCAAAAAATAACTCCTTCCACAGCGGGGACAAAAATAGCCCAGGTGCAGGGCTCAGATGGGGGTGGGAGGCCGTGCATGGAGCCGCACAGCTTTTTCCCTGCAACATACGCCCACCTGGTCCCTTGGCCCGCAGGGACCACGGCCCGCTTGCACATTTCCCGACCCCACCATCCGGCCAGCTAGCAGAGTCTCTGGTATTACTTACCTCTTTGTGTCTAAGTTAATTCATTATCCATCCTATGTGTTTGCAGTTGTTAATTCACCCACCCTCACATCCACCCGCAGAGCCACCCACTTACCCTCCCGTCGACCCACCCACCATGCATGGACCCAGTCACCCGCCCGCCCTTCCGTCTGCCCACCCCGTCCTCCAGCTATTCCCCCAGGTACCCCGCCTTCGCTGGCTACCCCCCGTATACTTTTCACTAGTTGCCCTTATGGTAACTGACCTATCTATTCGCTTAATCCTGTGTGCTTTTGTCCATGAATTCAGCCACTGATTCACTGCACTTTCGAGCCAATTCAAACTCCCAAATGCCTACAAGAGTTACTATCGCCTGTCAGACGCTGTGTCAGGCTCTGCGACTAGCAAGTGAAGGAGACAGGCCTGGTGTCTACCTGTGTGCGAGTCCTGCAAGTCACTTCTGGGATCAGGTGAGGAGCTCATCGCAGAGGTCCCAGGTGAGTCCGACGTCCCTGCTCTCTGGAGACCGATGGCAGGGTGAGCATGGGGCTGGATGCTGGGCCTGATTTCAGGTCCAGCCCCCAAATTCCTAACCATTCAGAGCTTCAATTTCCTCTTCTGGGAAATGGGGACAAGTTTGCTCATCCACCCTCCTGAGCCCCGTGTGCTGTGACTGTGGGTAGGTATTGCACGTGAACATGTGCGTGTGTGCCCTGTGCCCACATGCAGGGTTTCTTGGGGGTTTCCCGTCACCCAGGCATCCCCGCCCGCAGCCCCATGATCCCTGAAGCTGAGGGTCATCTCTGATATTTTGCTGGTAACCAGGCAGCGCTTGGCTTCTGTGAACACACTGGGCAGGTCCGGGCCGAGTGCTGGCTGTGGGTCCAGGGGCGTACAGGGAGCTGGAGTCCTTCTGAGGGGCGGGGATTCCTGTCTGAGCCCCTCTAGCAGAATGAGTTAGATATTCTGATGAAACAGCCCCCACCGCCTGCCGGAGCCTTAGGTTTCAGAGGCGAAGTGCGTCTCCAACTTCCTGGGTCGAGGTGCTCTGTACCTCAGATACTGCCGGAGTAACAGTGCTAATTCCTGCTAAACCCCATGTGCTATGTGACCCCAGGCAAGTCGCGTCCCCGAACCCCATTCCCTCACCTGTAAAGTGCCTCTTAGAAACCTCACGGGCAGCGTGAGCACCTGCAGGCGCTGACAGTGAGCGCCCGAGCGCCAAGCACCCATGTGAGTGCTCCCCCAAACTGGTGGAGGACCCGGAGGGATGAGCTGCTGCCTCACTGTACTGGGGTGCGGGCCGGTGCTCAGCGGGGTGGGCTCCTCACAACACACACCCATAAGCTGCTGTCTCTGCTCAGCCTTGCAGTGTGCTCTTCCCCTTTAACCCGCAACCTGTGAAGCTCTGTGTGTGTGTGTGTGTGTGTGTGTGTGTGTGTGTGTGCGTGTGTGTGCTTCGTTGAGCTCGAGCATTCGCACAGGCGGTGCTCTCTGAGCCAGGGCTCTCATGGTCCCCAGCCAGGTGCCTGCGTCAGGGAGGACACTTAGTGAGGCCAGAGCGAGGCCCGTGGGATGTGTGGGGCTCACGACCCCTCAGGACCAGTCCTGGCCCGTTCCTCCTTCCTCTCCTGCTTCATCCCAAGCCACCCTGACCATGGGCGTGACCCAGCATGAACCCAGCCACCCAGGGCCTTTGCAAAGCTGCTGTCACTCTTGAAATGTCCCTGCCCCCGCTTTGTACCCTCACAATCCTATCCGTCTTTCCCGAATCCGTTCCAGGAGAGCCTACAAGGCCGTGCAGGGATGGGGTGGGGTGCGTTTCCTCTGTGGTCCCTCAGAGCCCTCTCGCCATCTGAGCCCACACTGTCCTCTCCATATCCTTAGGTCCTGGGGCGCAGACAGCATACAGATGCTCAGAGGCACTGATGGTGGAAGGAAGGGAGGGAATTCTCCTCCTGTGCGGGTTTTCTAACACAATCCAAATGAGCCTCAGAGAAAGGCTGTTCCCCAAGGGCCCAGCTCTGTGCTGTTACCCGGGCAAATACAGCAGCCAGCGAGTCGCATGTGCTCTGGAGTCTAGAGATCTGGCTCAGAGAGGCCTGCTCCTGTCCCCTGGGCCTCTGTCTGAACCTGGGTGCCCTGCTGCACTGCTCTATTTCAGGGCCCGCCGGGGAGGAGCGGGGGGCAAACCCAGAGGGCGGCCCGTTCTGGAAGGTGACAGGGAACAGAGACCAGGCTGGACTGGGGAGGGAGAGGGAAGCCCGAATCTCATCACCTTGGCCTTGAGCTTGCCCCGTGGTGGTGCCTGGTCCGCTGCTCCAGATCGGAGAGCGCTGTCTCCTCCCCGGATGCGGGTGAAGACGGTCTCCACTCCTCCGCCCGCTGGGCCTCCAGCTCAGTTCACAGGAGGTAAATGACTTGGACAAGGGAAAGCGTGAAGTCATGGGTGGATCCCCTTTCCACTTGGCTGGTCTGCTTCCTGCAGGGTTTCCTGACACCAGCCCGCCGTGAACTTGGTCCTGTGCTGTCCGCTGCAGTTGGAAGCTGGACTGCCCGGCCCAGTGTGTGCCTGGCAGATGATCTGCCCTGGAGCAGGGAACAGCACTGTGCACAGGGAAGGCGGGCCCTTCAAAACCCCAACAGACTGCACCCCATCCTGACCTACAGAGCAACCTCGGCCCCCTGCCTGCTGCAGCCAACAACGACCCAGGCAGGAAGTGGGGCCGGGGACCGCGAGTCCTCTCGCTCTCCTCTCGGCACACGTGTCTTCCTGCTCATCTCTCAGTGGGTGCCTTTCTGGGTGCCCTTCTGGGTGCCCAGTTTACCAAGTGGGTGCCCAGAGAGATTTGGGGTTCGGTTAAGCAACAAGTAACACTTTTAGAACAAATGTATTCCATGCAGTATGTGAGACACGTCTACGCTAAAAATTACCCTTTGTTTCTCCGAAGTTCAAGTGTAATAGGCGTCTTGTGCTCGACCTGCTTGTCGAAAGGGCATTGTGAAGCCAGGTGCAGTTCGCTTTCCTGCCCCACTCACGTTGATTGAGCCTGGCTGTCACTGCTATTAGAGTCAGACTAAGGATGCTGCATATTCAATATAACACCAATTAGTAAATACTGTCATTAAAATTAATGAATGGCTAATAGCCCACTTTTCTTTCTGTAGTCTTGGGGACTGAGCTCAGGGCCTTTGCACTGAGCTACATCTCTGGCTCTTTTTATTTTTATTTTGAGACGATGTCTTGCTAGGTCGCTAAGTTGCCAAAGTTGGGCTGGAACTTGCCATCCTCCTGCTTCAGCCTCCCAGTGCGCTGGGATTACAGGTGTGTTCACCCACACCCGGCGATCAGCCCTAATATTAAGACCCATCGTTTATGGAGCAGCTACTTTGATCCAGCCGTGTCCTTTGTCTGGCTTCATGGCCATCGCACCTTTCCAAGTAGCAATATCCCTGGGCTCTCTGTGCCCTGTGTCACAGTATTTGGTCAGCAAGAAAACCCTAGAAGAGCCAGGGTGTGGATTTGGGGGTAGGGCACCGTTTCCAGAGCTCCTCCCCCGCTCCGAGAGTCGACATTGCCATGAATTATCATCTCATTCTGCCCACTCGGCCAAGGGGAAGCGGGGCCTGACTCTTGCCCTGGGATCACATGCCAAAGGCTTTTAGCTCCATCCTGTCCCGGGCTGCTTCCCGGGCCACACACGCAGGGAGAAGGAGAGCAGTGCTGGTGTCCCCAGAGGGACAGCGCACAGGGCAGCAGCACAGCCAGCTCCTCGTCAGCCCGGGCCCGTCCCACCCCCATCGCCCTGTGAGCGGATGCGGCATCCCTTCCGTTTCGCACGGGGCAGGATTCTCTCGCTGTGCCTGTGAGGCACGTCAGAACAGGTGTCCCGAGAATCCCAGAGCTGCATGCGAGCGGGACCCTGGCTAACCCAGAGAGCGGAGGGAGGGCTCGGCAGGTGGGGCCACCAGTCCTCCAACTCCAGCCTGAGCTCCCTGGCTGTGTGACCTTGGCAAGTTGCTCAGCCTCTCGGGGCCACCACCTCTTTGCCTGTGAGATGGAAATTATGACAATCGCTTCCTACAGGACTCAGTCCAGGAAGAGCACTTAACACTGCGCCCTGACCCATAGCAACTGGACAATAGCCATGAGCGGTTACGTTTGCCTACATTTAGGTTTTCCCATGGCAGGACCAGGTGCAGTGACGTGTTTGGGAGGAGAACCCAGGAAGCCCAGTAGAGGCGTGGCTGGTGGCGGGGAAGGAGGAAACCCAGGCAGGGTGTGTTCACAGTGGGTAATTTGGTCTCAGCCCTGCTGGGGCACCCAGGAGGCTGGGCAGGGCCCACGCCGGGGCCAGGGATGGGCGCACAGCCTCCTGGGAGAACCTCAGGCACAGGCAGTAGACAACTATGGGTCCTTGGACGAGGGAGCCATTCTGGAAGACGTCACTTACTTTTCAAGCATCCTTCTGCTACAGGAGCAAAGACAACAGCAGCAGCAGCAATGATTCAATCAAGACTGAAACCCAGGGTCATGGTGTGATCCGGAGACTCCAAGAACAGTGCTCTGTCTGAGGCTGACATCAAAAAGGCTTCCAACAATGCTCAGTCCCCCGTACTGGGGTTCGTGTCAGCCTCTGCCCTGGCTGTGTGGAGAAGCCTCCCAGGGGCCCTGTGCCAAGGAGGACGAGTGGCTGCGGGTTGGTGGCCTCAAGGGACAGGGACTGCACGGCTCCTTCAGGCTGGTCCATCCACAGTGCTACTTGAGGAGCAGAAGAGCCCATACAGCTTGCAGGACCCCACCCCAGATGACCAGGCCGAGCGCCCCTGGACCTTGCCTGTCTCACCCTCCCACCTGGCCCCCGGAGACTGGGAATGACAATTTCTGTGTCCAGCTGAGAGGTGAGAGAAGAGACTCAGAGAAGAAAAGCAACTCACCCAGGGCCACACAGCAAGGAACGGTCAGAGCTGGGCAGAGAGCAGCCCTCTCCCCAACACAGACCGTGGAGCTAAAGGCTGTCTGGGGACTCTCTGGGAGGCGGCGGAGGTCAGTGGTGAGCCCAGGCCTCTGGAATCCTATGTCTGAGTTCCAGGCACGGTGACTTCAGTCTACACTGTAAACTGGACTCAGTTTCCTTTGTCTGTATAATGGGGACATCTGTAGAACTGGCTTTCCAGGATTGCTTTATGGATTGAATGATGTCGAGTCTTAGAGTACTAAGGTGCTCCATGAATATTCCCAGTGCCTTAGTTGGGGGATTTGTAGTTTTCAGGGCCTCCAGGAAGCAGGAAAAATAAAGAGCTTCCAGTGGGGGAAGCTGGGCTGCTCTCCAGGTCAGCTAGGAGAGGTCAGGCGGCCCGTTTGCCGGTGTGCACAGCTCCTCTCCACGCGCTTCAGGGTGGTGTGGGTCAGTGGTGTGTTCGCTCGGCATGCGTGAGCCCTGGGTTCCATCTCCAGAACTGAAAAAAACAGAGCAGCGCAATCTTTCAGAGGCCATTTGGAGGAAATTTTAAGTAGGTTCTGAGCAAGGCAATGGCCAGCTTCCTCGGCATCGTGTTATCTGGGGCTCTGGAAGCCTGGCCCACAGGTTCTGGCACTACACGCCCCATTGCGCAGAACCTTAACCAGTCCATTCTTCTGGATAAGCAAGCTGAGGCCACAGGAGCAAGAGGTTTTGCTGGAATCACACAGCTCTTCCGCACCGAAGCGGAGGGTGGAGCCCAGAGTCACCCTGTTCCACAGCCAGGATCTACCACCATCAGCTGAGCTGAGAGGTGTGAATTTCTTCCCGAAAATGCCCAGGGGAGGCGCCAAATCCTCACAGCCCTGCCTGGTCAGAGCTAGAGGGCTGGACTGAAGGTTTCCTTGTTTCCTGCTGGGTGCCAGGGTCTCAGTGCACCCCTGAGCCCCCAGCGCCTCGGCCACTTTACTCGGCTCCTCCCCAGAGCAGCTGCGGCCCTGTGTGTGACAGCCCATCTCCAGGAACCGCCACCCCTCCAGAGCTCAGGAGACTCAGGAAGTCCTCTGCATCCTGAGGAAAAGAGAAAGGGAAAAAAAGCAAGAAGGAAAATGAACAAAACCAAGTGACTTCACTCTGGACACCGGGCCACATTGTTAGCGCATGGCCCATTTGTCGGGGTCAGGGCCTGGGGGTGCATGAGACTCTTATGCAAGACAGCTGGCAGTGGAGAAAGCCGAGTTCCTGAAGATTATTATTTTAGCAAGCCCAGCCTTGACGTGTCCAAAGGAGCTGCAGGATCTGGAGGGCTCTCCAAGAAAGCGTGTGTTTCTCGGGGTTATTATTTCAGAGTCAAGTTCAGGGAGGGGGCCTGTTTTGCTCAACTCATGTTTCTGGAAAAACAGGCCCCTGGAAAGAGTTGGCTGAGGCGGGCAGGATGTGGAAAGGGGAGCCCATGGGCCTGGGGAGGCGGCGCTGGGGTGGCTACGGGAGAAGGGCTCTCTCTTGCTCCCTCTCTTTTCACACTGGGGCCTTGGGACTGGCTTCTATCTAAAGAGGAAGCTGTCTGAAGACGAGACTGGGTTATGTTCCCACTGCCCCATCCCTCCAGCCCCTCCCCTGGCAGCATTGCTGGTCGGAGAGGAAAGAAGACCTGACCCTGCTGCCATCTTGGTGAGCTTTGTGAGACCCGGGCTGACGACTGATGGCCGTCTAGTGCAGCCTAGATGAGCTGGCCAACTGTGTGCCTCAGTTTCTCCACCGAGACCAAAAGCTTTGGAAGTTTCAGTCCTTCCTGTCCCTCAGCTGCACCCCACACTGTTGGTGTCAACAGCACCATCCTTCTCTCAGACCCCTGAAGAGTCTCTGCCGCCTCAGGACCTTTTCTTCTGCATGGAGCCTGCCTCTTGGCTCCTAGCCTGCATCTGTGTCATCCTTTCACCCTCTGGGCACCACCTCAATACTCCCTCCCTCGGGGAGCGGTTCTGAGCCCAGGCAGGGGCAGGGGTCTCCATCTCACATCTTGCCAGCTTCTGCATTTCTTTGGTGCACCCTTCGCCACACAATCCTATACTGCCTTGTCCAGCCCAGCATCTGTCTCCCCACTGGCCCTGAGGCTCATGAGAAGAGGAACCAGGATGTTCAGTAGGCAAATGGAAACAGCTCCCAAGCAAGACTCACAGCAATGCGTGTCTTGGCCCAGAGGCAAGGGCAGCATTCAGTCTTAGGTTGCTGGAGTCTGTGATCCCGGGCGGATACCAGACTGACTGTTAGAGGGATGGCGACCCCTTCCACAGCCTCCTCTTGAGGATCCCCTCAGGAGGTGTCCATCCCACCCAGCTTCACAACTGGTGTCCACCAGTGGACAAAAGCAGTGTGCTATACCAGAGAGAGCCTTGTACGGTCCGTGGAAACCCTCCATGCCATCCCTGCTCCCCTCAGCCCCATTTCCTCTGTCCCCCGGCTTCCTCCCAGGCCTCTCCTGAATCCATGCACGGAAACCTCCCTGCAAATGCCTGGCGGGATCCTGCCACACGGGTCTCACTGCACCCTGCTCCGAGCCAGGCTTTCCTCTCGGGACCAGCTGTTCTCTGGAGCCCAGAGGTGAGGTCATCCGCACTTCACGTGCCTCGGTGGGTGTCGAGCGTCTCCTCCTTCGAGTCTCGCGCCCTGGACTTTGTTTTATGGGGTTTGGCTGTCTGGGGCCGCCGCCGATTTCATCCATCAACTCACGATCGCTCCAACACTAACGCTGAATTTATAGAAGTGGTTAAACAAAGTGGTGACAATGTGGACGGCGTGTTTCTGATTAACACGGCGATTCCAAGGGAAGCTGCCAACTGCGGGGAAGTCAGTAAAACACAGCAGCCATTTCCCAGGCTCACGGAGTCGGGGCTTTGACATCACAGGATTAACAGATGTTGTGCAAGGAACTTGCAAAGCATTTGGAGGCATCGCTTGACAGAGAAATGCGAGCTCGTGTACAAACCAGAGCTGTTCCTTTCTTTCTTCCCCTTCTTTCTCTTACAGTTTTTTTTCCTTGAGAGATTAAATCTGAATTCACTGTCAGCCTTGAGAATTTCCATCAGGAAATGTGGTGAATCAGACCTATAATGTTTGCCCAAGGTTTCCTGGGTGCGGG